CTTTGGTTGTAGTGACTTAGGTTGTGGGATTTAAATTGGAAGAAGTGTTGGTTCTTGGAGAGAGTGAGGTTAATGTTTTGAGTTTTTCCTCAGTTGCTGTATTCATGAATCATTCTGTTCTTTCACATTAAGTTCTGTGCAAATTCTGTTCTACAGTGTTTGCTTAGGACTTTTGCCTGCTTTTAATGAAATTGATAGGAAAGTCCTATTGCATCAGGTGGGAGCAATACCTAGTCTAAAATTTCAGACATATGAATATTGTGTAAAATCAGGTCTGTCCTCTTGCAGATGACTGAGAAACATTTCATCAGAGCTTTTTTGTGCTCCCCTCTGGTGGTTAGTGACTGAATTTGAATTTCTTTTTATCCCGTCCACCTGAAAGGCTTCAAGATTGCATATCCAGTCGAGTGAAAAATGTTTTTGAAATCCTCACTTCACCATATTTTTTCAATAATAATGTTTACAAGTCTTTGGGATTACTATACATGCTAAAGATTCTTTAGCAGATTTTCTCTACTTGTCTTGCTCATAAAAAGCAAATGGTTTGTAAAGTTAAAATTACCAAATTGCCTCAGCATAGAGAATGGATGGGGAATTTGCTGATTAAAGATTTTCTGTGAATGGGAGAAGAGTTAGAGCAGTGATGGAGCTTTTACAGCATTGAAACACTTAAGAATACTCCCTGAATGTGCTTTGCACCACTTGAAGAAAAAAGTGAAAATGCAAGGAGGCAAAATATACTGTTGAAACTTATGACATGAATCAACATATTACTGATGCTTAATGGAGCTAGACAATTGCAAGATTAAAACAAATTAACTCTTACTTAGATTGTTTTATTACCTCTCTTTGATATGAGTTCCCATCATCTCTCTGCTGTCCTGAGAACTGCTGAACTAAAGCCAGTGAATTTATAAACTCTGCCAGTGAGTGTTGGCTTTCAGATAGCATACAGTGCTATGCTGCTGTAATATGTAAAATAGACCACTGTAATCCACATTTGTAAAAGCAGAAAATTGACACATCAACCAGTGATTCTTTAAGGACTGGTTCTAGAGCTGTAAAAGAACAACTGTTATCTTTGTTTAAAAAATCACCCAAACCACGAGTTAATTTCTTTGGGCTTGTGTTCTTTAGAAGGTATAGTACACTACTGAAGTTTACATGCATTTGTATTCATTACTGTTGCATAGAAATTAAAGATGAAGCTATTAGTGTTCTCATAGGCAAAATCAGGAAAGATTAAGTGTTAAACTTGCAGAAGCAGGAGCAATTTCAGCTAGAGTAATGACAATAGCTTGGTGTTTTGTAATTACTGTTGTAAGGTCAGATTGTACAGTGACATTAAAGGAGGGGGAGAAAACCCCTGAATGCTCCATATATTTACATGCCTTTAGTATTGATTGTGTTTTGTGACATAAATGCTGATGCAGAATCTGAAGAAATTCAAGTTTTGGTGGTCAGAGCTTCCCCCTACCCCTAGATGTGTGTTCCCGTTTATTGCTGGGTGGAAACAAGAGGAGGAACGCTGAGTCATATTAATAGAGCACTCATCCCTTCCCTCGCAGTGCCTGTGGCTTTGAGTGATGAAGAGAGCTGGGTGTGGTGGCCTCTCCTCCACCCGCCTCAGTGTGTGAGGGTTGAAGGTAAATCTTTGGTCCTTATCTTCCTGTCCCCTTCTGCATAGCTTTTATAGTGGAGGAATGTTGAGTCTTCATTTTTGATATCGTCAAAGTAATTTGCTTACCTGTGATGCCTATCTCTCATAATCATAGAATTGTAGAATGGCTTGGGTTGGAAGGAACGTTAACAGTCACCTAGTTCCAGCCCCCTGCCACTGATACTCTCTGAAAGAAGGAACACCTTCTGCTAGACAAGGTTGCTCAAAGGCCTATCCAGGCTGGCCTTGAACACTTCCAGGGATGGGGCGTCCACAAATAGAAGTTTTCCAACTTAGATACACATAACTGTCTATTCTATCTGTTTTAATCTGTTTTTATAAGTACCCTTTATGCCCTTAGGAAATGTTCATTCAGGAATTAATCTGCTGATTAGTGTTAAACAGTTAGGTAGTCATTTTTGCATAGCTCTCTGACCATAAAATCGTTTTTCTGGATGCTTTCTATTTCAGTTTGTAATTAAGAGCACATACAGAAAAAGTGTTCACCCAGCACTTCAGGATCTGCTAGATAAGAAATGTGAGAAAAATGGAAAAATAATTTTAGCAAATGAGATTTCACATTACTTTGACTAATATATTGACCATGTGTGCTGTATCATACTGAGTCATTGTCCCTATAATCTTTTCACTTATTTCTTTTTGAGATACTGGTTTTTTAGTTTGGTATTCTTTTCCCCATCATTCCTCGTGAAGTATGTGAGTTAGGAGAGCGGACACTTGAGAACTGATACTCCACAAAAGCAAAATCTGTTTAGTCTTCTCTTTCCTTGAGGTAGGCTTTGATAACTAAGAAGGTAGAATTTGTAAACGCTAGGCTTAGAATTCCTAGGTGCTAGGTGAGCAGATTGCAGGCAGAGAGCTTCATTTCCACAAGAGTCTCTTTTTATCTTTCTTTAAAATCAGTCAAGGTTATCTTAAAATTAGTCTGTCACTTCTGATGCAGCTACTGTTAAGAAAGAAGGACAGGTGTAAAATGGTAACAGTTGCTCTGTTCAGCACATAAGTCTGCCCACTCTGTTCTACACAAATTGCAAGCAATAGAGCAGCATTGCTGGAACCCTTGCTGGAAGAGAATTATTACAGTCTAGTCTTGTGTTTGGTGGGACAGGAAGGTTTTACAAAATTTTCCAAGGTATACGTGGAGACTATCCAGACTTGAGATGAAGTGCTTGCGTGCTACGTCCAGCATTTAGAAGTGTGGCCACAAAAAGTAACAGATGTATTTGCTCTCAAGCAAGTCTCCTGACATAAGTGGAGAGGTGCAAAAGGTGTGATGTGAGTTACAAAGTAGAATCCAGGTAACTGAATGCTCAAGGCTATGTGTCCATTTTTAAGAGCAAATTTATGCAGAAACTATACTATGTAGGTAACCACAGCAAAAATCTAGTAACAACTGGATAGCATTATGTTTTTGTTTTAATAGTAAAACTGCCATCAAACGAAGTATAAATACTGAGGCAGAAAGACTGGAAATGCAAAATGCCAATATTAATTTACACTGTAGCTTAGTTTTTGATGTTCTTCTGCAAAAAAAATAAGAAAGGAAATTACCAAGTCTTCAGTTTGCTTTCAGGAAAACTTTCATAGACTATATGTAATGCATGTATATTTTGAAATTGCAGTGTCTCTCCTTTTAATCCGAGTTCTGTAGCCTTTGATGCTATATTAAACCAATTTCCACACTAACATTTGGTGGTAGTTCTGAAATGCTCTGTTGCTTGAAAGGCTCCATATGGGTATTTTGCAGGTCTAAGCATTAGATTCTGTCCCCTCCAGCACTTCTAAAGTGATCTTATTGACTTCTTAAAATTATAAATTATCCATTATCCAGCCTTTGTGCAGCTTCCCACAAGGCAAAGAAAGTAATGAAGAAATGAATAATTCCTTAATATTTTGCTCAGCCAGTATAATGCATTATATATAGATATATTGTATATATAAGGCGTGTCTGGGGTATGTGGAGGACACAATACTTAGAGTTAATTCCTTTCCTGAATATGCCTGTGAAAACACAGTGGCATAGTTTTATTGAGGTCCTGCTTTACTGATGGGGTGTGTGTATATCTATCTGTCTATCTACCTGTCTATATCTATGTAAAGTAAATGAGCTCAGAAGAGCCACATCATGCATAGTCATATTATGTGGCTTCATCCAGAGTCCAGAACTGGCCATCATGGTGTGTAGTTCAACTCAACTTGACCCCAGTCCTCATTAGGTCTGGTGTGTGTCAGTATAACAAACAGTAAGAGCCATGGCAAAGCCCTTCAGGATTTCCACTGGTTGCAAGGGCTGGCTCTGTCCCTCATCATGATGTGTGTATCAGATTTGATTTTTAAGGACTATTTAGAAAATACATCAAATCAGATAACCTGTAGGAGTGACTGGATCAGGAAAAGGAAAGTGCAGAGTTTTATTGTACCATGGCTCTGTGAATCTGTTTAATATTCATCCTTGGTCATATGGGTTACACCGTGTCATGTACCCTTTTGACACATGCATGTTGTGGCTGTACCTGTAGAGTAAATTGCTTATAAAAATAAACCTGTGTTTCTTCACAGTGGATAAAAACTTGAGTCCCTCATTCTTTAGTCAGTTCTGACTTAAACAATCTCCTGTAGTCTCAGCAGATGGATTTTTATTAAGTTCGTGAATTGTGTAGCTGTTCTTTAGTTGGTAATTCATAGGTTTTTGCTTCTTTTTTTGCTGCTTCCCATTGCCATAGTAATGGCAGCCATTGGTTAGTCCTAATGCTACAAAGGTCAGCTTTAGTATAACTTTGGATCTCTTTTCTGTGAAAATCTGTGTGAACATAGATAACACAGTAAAAAAACTTCAGTTAAGTAATTCATTTGGTCACACAGATAAGAATGTTTCACATTTAAGTAGTTGCTCATTAATATGAATAATAGTAAACAGTTCAAGAGTTTGGCATCTAAACCAGATAGTTTAATATGGTATAAAATTACTGTAATCCCTGATGAGTAAAGAGGGTAATTCAAGTCCCAAAAGTCTGAATTACACGTTAGATACGATCTTTCAGGCAAAATAGGTTTTATGAATGACCGGTCTGATAAATCTCAAAGGACATTGGGAAAGAAATCAGGTAATCGGTTGTTTTAATATAGAGTGTATAATTGCTGAAAATGTTACGGTAATTTTATGTTTTGTGGCTTCAGATTAGCCTTAATATGTTTGTGTATATTAGCACATTGTAAAATCTGTTATTTTCATGTATTTGAACTTGTTGCTTACTTGTTTTTTATACATTTCTACATATCTATTGAGTATTTTCTATTTATCTTTCTTCCTACTGAACAGGTATTATTGAGACTGCAGATCACCTGGATCGTGAGACGACTTCGCATTACTGGTTAACTGTTTATGCAACAGACCAAGGGGTTGTGCCTTTGTCATCTTTCATTGAAATCTACATAGAAGTTGGGGATGTTAATGATAATGCTCCTCAGACCACAGAACCAGTTTATTACCCAGAGGTCATGGAAAACTCGCCTAAAGATGTATCTGTCATTCAGATTGAGGCATTTGATCCAGATTCTAGCTCAAGTGAAAAATTAACCTACAAGATTACAAGTGGAAATCCACAGGGATTCTTTTCAATAAACCCCAAAACTGGTAAGTACAATGCAGCATTTCATGTATTAATGCATCGGTGTATTTCCTTAAGTACAAAAACCAGGCAAAATCAAGATCTTTGGTTTAACGTTGTAACCATGCTTTCTCGGTAGTTAAGAGTTAACCTGGTATGTTGGGCTCTGTCAATATTAGTGAGTTATGCAAACATGTAGAAGAGGATTTTGAAGTGAAGCACTTGGTTCAGAGTACTTGACATCCACATCATGCATATTTTGTGAAGGTTTACTTCTGGGTAGCTCCTCTAGACTGGTCAACATCCATGTGCTTTTGCAGTGCTGTAAATATACAGTAAGAATACGTATTTTAGCTTAGTTTTATCAAGTTGTTTTTTAACAGTCTCAGTCTTCAAGGTTTCATGCAGATTTTTTTGTCAGGCTTTTTTGTGGGGGGAGGAGGGGAAGGCATAGTGTTAGTCTAAGCAAAGTAAGTGTTTATTAGCTGCAAACTTACTTGTCCTACAGTCAAGAGACATTCTTTGTAACTAACTGTTGCTGTTGTAAGTAATAGAAAATCTGGAAGATCATTTTCAGATGTGGTTATTATGTAGTGTAAAGAAAGAGTCTGAGTTCAGTGGTTCTTTGGAAAGCTTCAGTGAAAACTCATTGAGGTTTTAACAGGAAAGTACAAATATAAAAACCGTTTGTGGATGCTGAAATGTGTGTAGGGCAGAGAAACAGGAAAAAACCAAAATAATGAGTCTTAGGTGATGCTACACAGTAATTTTGAAAACACTGTAAGGGTTGCCTACCATCCGTTTTATCTGAATGAATCTGAATTTTATAGAGAAAACAATAAATGCACTGGATGTTGTTCCCACAGATGTTTCCTAACAGTAAATAAGAGTCTGGTTTTATTTCAATCGTATTTTGCTGAGTTGGGCACAGCTTAGCTTTTTCATATGTTGCATTTAGGCATTATTTCACAGTGAAAATTCTGAGAGATGCTTCTCATTCACTCAGATTATTTTTTTTCCTCAGAATCCAGAGGTCTTTAGACTAGAGATGTAGAGGGTAACTTTAATCTGTAACAAAGGAGCAATAGAAGCCTTATTAATTTAACTCTTGGGCATACGTGGAGGGAATTTCAGGTGATTTAAAGGTGGAAAAATGGAGTGAAAAATATGTTTTGAAGACTGAGTTGTCACTATGGCTGTCATTCTGTTTCGTAGTTATTTCAGCTCAGGGTATGAAAGACTTGTGTGCTGTATTAGCTGCAGTTGCTGTGTCAGCAAAGCTCTGAGTGCAAACACAGGTATGTTATTTGGGTTATTTCTGACAATAACCTCTTTGTCAGCATGTGCTGCATCTGCTTGTGAAGACACTGCCAAGAGGGACATTCAAAATAGCTATAGCTACAGAAGATCTTTAACATAGTTAAAGCCTGCATCTAAATGCTATATTTAGTGTTGGTTTTAGGAAAAAGGCATCCTGAGAAGTAAAACAAGAAAAATTTAACTGCAGTCTTGTAAAGTGAATGCAGAAACACTTAATGTGTTTTATTTCTAGTCTCTATTCTCTTATGTGAAGTAAAAGGAAAAAAATATTCAGCTTCTCTATTTCCTTGTCCTTTCTGATTTTGAAATTTACGTTTGCTTTATATCATTTGCTTTTCTGTATTTTCATATGTAAAACATGAAAATTTAATTAGTAAGAACATCCTTAGTTGCTGTAGAACTAGAACTAGACTGAACTCTCTCTAAACAGAATGAGCTCACTCAATTCCTTGAGACTCTGTATCGGTTTTCATATGGATGTAATATTTTTGACATGTAATGTTGTTAAAATATAGCTGATACTTAATGTTGCAGGCTACGTATGGTAAGTATTTCAAAGATTGCTGAGTTAAGGTGCCTGAAAGAAGCTTATACTACCTTGTAAGTGGCAGCGTGCACATTGGAATGGCAAAATCTGTGTTTGCGTAGTGAAAGGATTTTGACCTCTCCTTACTATTCCTGGGCAAGAAAATGGAATCCTAACCAGGTATCCATATAGGGCCAAGGAAGACCTTTCTATTATGGCTAGATTACCTTGCCCATGTATTTAGGCTAGAAATAATTTATGATCTTTTTACAATTGTTCTGCTTCTTTCCACTTCCCCAGGACTTCTGTGAGATTTTTTTGGACCAACCAAATCTGGCTAGGGGAAAGAATCAGGGCTGGGTAGCAAAAAACACTTTCTCCAGAAGTCATGCCTTCAGAAATTTAAATCAATAACAGCAAATGAGGCAGGGAGGTACTTGATATTGCTCCATATAGCACTTACCAGTCAGATTTGCAGAAGTGCTGATGGAAATAGTATAGCTTTATATGCTTTTAATGCAGCTTAGTGTGAAAGTGATGCATACTTCCAAAAACTAGACTTGGGTTCACGACCTGGGCTGTAGAATGGCAAAATTAATTTTGAGTTGTTAATTTTCCCATACTTGGGTTTTGCAGGGCTAAAATATAAACGATTGTATGAACTAATTGCTTGGGAGTGTTGTAAAGATACATTAATTCGTTGGTGAAGCGCTTGGGTATTATTAAGAGAATGCTACAGGCATTCCTTTGAGGAAATTAGTAGTCTTGTGGTATAGGAGGTAGTCCATTTAGATAAGGATATTAGGTAGGGAATTCTATCAGAAGCATTGAGTAATTGCCCTTTCAAAACATGACCATATCCCGTGCATTTTATACTGTAACCTTTAAAACTCTGTGTGTGTGTCTGTCTGATTTGGAGACTGAAGTGAAATAGGAAATGGGTGCAGCTGCAAACAACTTCCATGGGTTTCCGATAACACTGGAGAATTACTTAGTGAGGAAATGAAGGGCCAGTGACCGCACAGTAGTATTGGCCTCATTTTAACAAAGGAAATCTTTGTTGTTTAACTGCTTGTGGGTTTTATTCCCAATGGATGTAATATTTTGGAACTTGAATAAAACCAGTATTACTACATTGCACACTTATGTGATTTAAAGTTAAATAAAGATCCAAATCCTGAAATTGTTCTTGTAACTTCTGTAGCTGGCAAACAATGCTAGGCTCAGTTATTGTTCACTCATGTCACACAGCTCGAAGTGTATGTAGCAGCCTCCATGTGCCCAACTGTTTACTTGTCACATGCAGAGAAAGTAAAGTATTGGATTATACTGTCTCTAGAACAGATTTATTTTTTTTACCTATACTGAAAGCGTGACCAGAATTAGCCCAAATGTTTGTTAAAAGTCCTGCAACCACAGACAGTTAGATGAGTAGATGAAAGTTTATCTAGATGTATATTTGGAAAGAGAATTTAGTTCTACAATGAGCTACTTCTATTTTCCTTTTAAAATATTGTTTAAAGCACTTGAAGTGCTGTTAGACTAGTGGTTTTCAACCTGGTCTTCTTTAAGTGGAAAACCAAGTTCGTATCTCTGAAATCTTTACTAATATCTTTGTGCCATTCACTCTACAATACTTAAGGATTTAGCATTTGAAAATATATAAATTTTGCTATAATAGAGGCAGCTACTTTAAAAATTTCTTGCAAATACTTATGTAGAGATCATTTCTTTTAGTGGTGTTTGTTCTCTTACATCTCTTTGGAAAAAGAGAAGTGGTAGGAAAATTAATGGAAAGTACAGCAGTCCTTTCCTTTTCCTTTGCTTGTCTCTGGCACTACATAAAAACTTCATGTCATGCTCTGCATCGCCTGTGTTATAAACAAAACTGAGGTTTTCTTTTAATTTCCCATATTCTGATGCAGCAGTCATGGAATCGTAGAAAAACTGGTTTTGGAAGAGAACTTAATGATCATCTATCCCACCCCTCTGCTAGGGGTAGGGATGCCACCTACTAGGTCAGGTTACTCAGAGCCCTATTCAACATGGCCTTGAATACTTCCAGGGATGGGGCATACACAACTTCTCTGAGCAGCCTATGCCAGTACCTCATCACCCTCTGAGTAAAGAATTTCTTAACATCTAATCAAAGTATTTCCTCTTTTAGTTTAAGACCATTCCCGCTTGTCTAGTCACTGTCTGCCCATATGAAAAGTCACTCTCCTTTTTTATGACCCCTCCTTTAGGTAATGGAAATTTGCTATGAGGTCTTCCCAGAGCCTTTTCTTATCCATGCTGAACAATCCAAACTCTCTCAGCCTGTCTTCGTGGGAGAGATACTCCAACTCTGTTTATTGTCATGGCCCTTCTGGACCTGTTCTAACAGGTCCATGTCTGTCTTGTGCTGAGGACCAGCCCCAGAGCTGGATGCAGTACTCAAGGTGGAGTGTCACAGAAAAGGAGTAGAGGGCAGAATCACCTTCCTCAACCAGCTGGCCATGCTGCTTTTGCTGCAGCGCAGGATGCAGTTGGCCTTTTGGGCTGTGAGTGCACCTTGTTGGCTCATGTCCAGTTTTTCATCCACAAGAACCCTGAAGTCCTTCACTGCAGAGCTGCTCTCAATGAATTAATCTCCCAGCCTGTACTCATATCTGGGTGTGCCCTGACCCAGGTGCAGCACTTGAGCTTGTTGAACTTCCTGAGGTTCTCATGGGCCTACCTCTCGAGTTTGTCCATGCCCCTCAGGATGGCATCCCTTCCTTCTGTGGTGTCATCTGCACTGCTTAGCTCGTGTCACCTGCAGACTTGGTGAGAGTGCATTGGAAATGGTGATGGAGATGGACTCTATCTGTATTATATGTTGTTTGGAGCTGGAGTATGTAATGTGCAAAATTATACTTCCAGCTATGGAAAAGACAGTGATCAGATACTGTTATGAGCCACTTGCAAAGTACCACCTTTACACATGCTTTCAGAGATACTGGTCTGTCCTTGGTAGGCTCTCTGAGTAATGTAACGTAGAGGAGTTTGTGTATATAGGAGCACTATAACATTAGTATTGATTAATTTCCTATTAAGAGAAGATTACTCAGAATTAGTGCCAATTCACATCTAGCACAGCTTGGTTTTTTTGTTAAAACTTTTTTTTTTTAATTAATGAAAATGAAAGATCAGTCCCAG